TTACGGTGTGGTTGCTGCTTGTTGTTGTTACGGTGTGGTTGCTGCTTTGTTGTTGTTACGGTGTGGTTGCTGCTTTGTTGTTGTTACGGTGTGGTTGCTGCTTTGGGCAGCTTTGGTGTTGTTATTGAGGTCGTCTTGCTAATTGCCAGGGTACGTTGAGACGCCTGACGATCCTGAGGCGCACCGCTAACGTGGTGGCGCTTGCTTATATTGAGGCGCACGATGAACCTAAGGCGCACCGCTGGTGGCACTTGATGACGTTGAGGCGCCTCGCTGACGAGGTGGCGCTAGATGGTGTTAGGGCGCCCGATGGGCATTAAAGCGCACCGCTGGTACGCACACACTGGTACTATGGCGCTCTTCTCCCGAAGTGGCGCTTGAGGTTACGCCGTATGGTTACAGTAGTGCTGTTGTGGCGCGTCGTGGATACCGTACGGGACGGTCCGCAGACTGCCTGCAAAGGGGATATTAATTAAAAGAGGTTTTATAGTTTGAATGATTCCTAATGGATTCTAAAGCAAAGAAAATTCACAAGGAGCGATACATCTGGATCGCAAGATTGAAGTTACATCAGCGTTTATACACAATTTTTGACGCCCCCGGTTTAAATAGAGGCATATATATGGGTTTTCGTGCTCCGCATGCTTCGGTAACCCCCCACTTCATAGCCGCGGTTGTTCCGTCTATTCTACCCCGGCTAATGAGACCTTCCTCGTTTGCTTCGACACTCAAGGATAATAATACTCACCTATTCCAGTGTTAACAGTTCCGGGACTGTTGCGCTGTTTTTGCCGCCCTGCGGTTGCTGTCAACGGGATGTGGGTTGCTGCTGGGACTCCCAATTGCTTAGTCAATGGTCCAACTGATTCTTTTGGTGTTGCTGCGGTGCTACGGTTGCAATGGTGGTTGATTGCTTTCACCTTTTCCTGTTTTATGTATATAGATTATTCTTCCCTATACTTTATAAATCCACTTTGACAACATGCACGATAACATACAACACTTACCTTGTACTAAATGTAGTAGCTGCGGCGGCACGCCAGATATGATACGACGTTTCCTCGGAATCTATAAATCTCTCCAAGGCTGAAACTGAAGCAGTAGTTATATGTAACGTTAATAACTACGTTCTCCTGAGTGCAATTCTATCCTAGAATCGCTGGTGAAATCGCACTATTTGACTATTTTTTTCTTTTTTTTTTAAAGGGGTTAGTTTGTTTAGTTTCTTCTTCACTTGTCACAGTTACTCGACTTATTTCGAGTGTTTATTTGGGTTTTTTCTTTTTTTAAATATCAAAATAAATCACTTTTATAATTCCCGTATCTGCGCACTTCGCATCTTGTTGAAAGAAAATTATATTGTGAAATGGCCGACTTTGGTGTTGCCAGCAGGTTTTTATACCCTTGCACTGCGGGAATATTCCATTTGGAAGAATAACGGGCACTGCGTCATTTGGACTAGTTCCGTTACTCTTCCAAATGGAATTTGCCGCAGTGCAAGGAGGAATATCAAAAAAATCCGGGGTTGCCGTGACTCCTCTTAACCGCAAAAAAAAATCTTTAAAAATAGCTAGTTAACAATTTTGACAGTTTCGTGATGAATACAAACGTCAGAATTTTATCTGGCTCATGTGCTAGGTAAAATTTCACAGCTTCTTAGTGTAATCAAACCTTATCATGAGTTCCATTTTTTTTATTTTTATTTTTATTATTTTTTTTCGAACCGGTTCACTTTTCAACTTTTGGTTTCCATGCATTTACCAAGGCGAATTTATCTAAGGTGGTGTTACTAGCTCAGCTGATTTTATGTATGTGTTTCGCCGCACGGCTTATGATATCAAATTGAAAAATTTTGTTTGAATTTCTACACACACTCTTACAGATTTTGACAGTTTATGCCGCCAAAGCAAAACGAAATACAAGTAAATTTTTGTTTTTGTACTCCTGCTATCACCTTATATTAATTCGCCCTGGCATTTACTATGGTCGGTGGAACAGTTTTCGGGCGAAACTCAGGATAAGGCAGAATATTGTGGGCGGTAATAAGGAATGAAAATCGAAATGGAATCCGATAAAACAAAATAACGTCCGTTACTTGCAAGTTAT